TACATTTCTTGGATACAACAGCCTTCTTCAACCAAAACAATGCAACACAGAAAACATTACTCACCAAAGTATACTTTAAACCTACAGATACACATGCTCTACTCCATAAACACAGCTACCATCCAAAACACACTTTCAAAAGGTATAGCGGAATCACAATTAATTCGCTTCAATAGAATCTCCTCCCGTTAACAGGACTTGGACCATGCCATCTCAGTGGCAGACTGGAACTTCATAGGCACAGCATCCACACTGATACTAGGAGATTCCAACCTCAACAGAATACCCTCATTCAATAACCCAAACATACAAATCGACAGCTACCCAGGTGCAAATATTTATCATTTTGCCAAGGTTCTGAAAAAGACACCTGCCAGGTGTTTCTCTAGGTGGGTATAACCAACAAGTACCATGATCCCTACCAGACCTCCCTCAAACAGCTGGCAGACATGTATAAAGAAGCAAAAAACACTTTTCCAAATGCTATTATTTATATCCCTATCCTTAACCATTCAGTTCCTCACCCCAGTGCAGAAACGCAACCTGAAAATCATGAATGGATACATCACCACACAATTCCCAACCCTCCAATTCCATACGTCTCCAGATCTGATACACTGGACAACAACCACAGCAAGACTGATATTCAATAACTGGTGCCAGCATTACATTTACATTGACTTCCATCCACAGCTTGGACAATCATAGCCACACCAACAGAATATTTTCACAGCTCTTTCCCTCTTCCCTCACTGTTGCTGCCACAGCCACTACCTCAGATCCCCCAGCAGAGGGCAGAACTACACCTGGTTTATCAAACATCAGACAGACACAAAAGACAATCTCACCCACATAGAAAGAGAGGCCATAAAACAACTTAAAAACAACCCACAAAATATACCGAAACCAGCAGACAAAGGATCAAAAATAGTTATAATAGATAAACACCAATACACATACGAAGCAAACAGACAATTATCCAACACTAAACACTATCAACCAATAGACAACCGTATACAACTACAGACACAAATACAATTAAGGCAAATCATTCAAACCCTCTATGAAAAACATATCACTGCTAAACAACGGAACTTTCTCTTTGTACCAGACACCCCACGACCTAGACTGTTTCACCTACTCCCGCAAATACACAAAGAACCAGACACCTGGATAGTTCCCTTTGAGGTTCCCCCCCGGATACCAATTGCTTCTGACTGCAACAGTGAGTCCTACAACATCTCAGAATACATTGACTATTATATCAACTTGAAAGCACCCCAGTTATCTTAGGGACACATCACTTCATGGAGAGGATTGGACCAATAGTTGTTCCCTCCCAAACCCACATATTAACAATAGATATTGATGGCCTATACACTAATATAAATACAGCAACAGGAATACAAGCAGTTAGAAACATTTTCAAGAGATATCCAGTTAACACTAGACCGGACAAAGAAATACTACAACTATTAGAAATCAGCCTTACTAGCAATAACTTTTTATTCAACGATCACTATTACCTACAGGTGGCGGGAACAGCTATGGGTAAAAATGTGCACCTGCATACGCAAATATACACATGGCTGAATGGGAGAGAGACGCTGAATGGGAGAGAGAGGCACTGGCCAAGTGTCCATACCAACCCACCTTTTATTACCGATTCTTAGACGATATAATAGGAGCCTGGCCTCACGACATTCAACTATTTACATATTTCCTAAACATTCTCAACAATCATCCATCCATCCATTAAGGTTAAATACACAATTCATCAGCAAGAAGTCAACTTCCTAGACACAGCAGTTTTTTTCAGTAATAACAATCCATCACAGAAAAAAAAGTATGTCACTTCACAATGATACATCATTTGACAATACAAAACAGGTTAAAAAATCCACATTGTGGACCACTCAAATAGTTTTGAGACACTAAAAGCAGTAATAGCAACATAGTACATTATTTAATTTGGAGTCCACTATAATCTATAATACATGTAGGCCTACCTGTACGTGGCACAGAAAGTGTAGAGGCCCTTAGCAGTTGGGCCTTGGCGGCGAGCTGCATCCTGTAGGCTTTGCCACGGGTGGATTTGCGAGCAGTTTGCTTGGTTCTGATTTACGGGTTTTATAAAATCGTACAAAAACCCAAATACATCATAAATCATTTCATTTTTCATACATATTTGCATCACGCCACACCATACTCATATTTATTATACTCCAGTATCCTCTCACCCTCCTCTTTCCACCACCCCATCACTATTAACCCAGCCTAAAACCCCATCTATAAAAACTATCCATTAGCAGACGACTGAAAATCAAATGTTCAATACATTTTACTGGGCGCCCTCGGGACCAAAACATTCGAAATGGGCTTTACAGACGCTTTATTACCTCATCCCTTAACCCGTGGGCTACGGAACCGAATTCCTCGGTACACCACCCCCACCAACATGAATACTACTTTCCTACCAAAAAACAAGAAAAATTCACATCATATATACCGACCCAACCATAATAATGAAATACTTATTTTCCACCATAATTTGCAAATAAATTCATTAGAAATCCTACAATGTGATTTACAGGATTTTTCTAATTTTGACTTGCACAATTGGTGGCTGACTAAATACTTGAAGTGTTCCGTAGTTACAAGAGCTAGCCAAATCCCTCAGATTAGCCACGTAGCTTTGAATGGACTCACCCGGCCGTTGGTGTCTCTTCCATAGCCGGTAGCGTCGCTCTTTCCCGGCGAAGTGGTTCCGTAGGAGGCTGACTGCAGCAGTGAATGTAGGAGCCGATCCAAGCGCTCTGAAAATCCTCTGTCCCTCTGTACCAAGGCAGTGACGGAGCAGTGCTGTCCTCCGCTTGTCGGAGATTGTAGAAAAGTCCATAGCTTCGAGATAAGTGTTAAAACTTTCAAGCCAGTTATTCCACGGGACTGGAGGTTCGCCAGGCACGGCAAGGAATGGTGCTGGCGGTGGTAAACTGAATTCAGCCATCTTCGTCGCCAATGTTATATCTAGCCTAGCTGTAGAAGAACGGACATCTGCACAGTTTCACATTGTACATCACTCTGTCGTTTAATGACATGTGCCACACATTCTGACAACCCATTCATCCGTAAAGCAGCACACTGTCGTAAACCATAACAACGTACAGTACGACGTACAGCACGTCGTACCATACATAACAATATTATTCTGAAGTAACAGTACTTTTACTTGAGTACAATTTTTGGCTCCTCTACCCACCTCTGTATGTATATAAGCCAAGCTTACCTCCCGCCAGAGAGACAAAACTTCAACCTCTGACTCTGAATGCATTCAACCGTGCTGAATACAGCAACGCATGCGCAGAGCCTTCCTGATTTGGCCATGCGACTTTGACTATTGTAGATAATCCATTTGGATTGATGCCTTTTATTTCAACTCCTCAGGCAAGTAAAACGTGCAATACGTAGCTTTTAGACATGTTAGTTAACAACATACATGGTGAGAAATGTAGACGTGCGCGTATATAATAAGAATATGCCATTTAACAGAAGCTTTTATCCAAAGCGATTTACAGTTAGTGAATACATATATATTTTTTATACTGGCCCCCCGTGGCAATCAAACCCACAACCCTGGCGTTGCAAATGCCATGCTCTATCAACTGAACTACATCCCTGCCGGCCATTCCCTCCCCTACCCTGGACGACTTGTGCACCGCTCATGAGTCTCCAGGTCGCGGCCGGCTGCAACAGAGCCTGGATTCGAACCAGGATCTCCAGTGGCACAGTTAGCACTGCAAAGCAGTGCCTTAGACCACTGTGCCACTCAGGAGCTACAGCGGTAGGGGAGGGAATGGCCGGCAGGGAGGTAGCTCAGTTGGTAGAGCATGGCGTTTGCAACGCCAGGGTTGTGGGTTCGATTCCCACGGGGGGCCAGTATGAAAAAAATAATGAATAATGTATGCACTAACTGTAAGTCGCTCTGGATAAGAGCGTCTGCTAAATAATATAAAATGTAAATGTTGTTCTGTCACCGTGGAGACACACACATACACAGTTTATGGGCTGCCTCATTCTAGTTCTGCCTGGTAAAAAAAAGTATAAACGTTTGGAAATGTGTGTAACTTGTGCTTAGTTATTTATTATTATTATTTTAATTGATAAGTACTTGAATTTACCTGAATTATTTTAATTTAAGCTATTTTGTAATTCATTTTCATTTATTTAATTAATTGGATGAACTATAATTTGCCTAAAGATGATTATTTTGGATTTTTGTCTGTCTGATTGTTGTCTTGTGTTAAAAAATAAACTCAAGTAACTCAGTACTTGAGTAGTTTTTTCACCAAGTACTTTTTTACTCTTACTCAAGTAATTATTTGGATGACTACTTTTTACTTTTACTTGAGTCATATTATTCTGAAGTAACAGTATTTTTACTTGAGTACAATTTTTGGCTACTCTACCCACCTCTGTATGTATATAAGCCAAGCTTACCTCCCGCCAGAGAGACACATCCTCAACCTCTGACTCTGAATGCATTCAACCGTGCTGAATACAGAAACGCATGCGCGAAGCCTTCCTGATTTGGCCATGCGACTTTGACTATTGTAGATAATCCATTTGGATTGATGCCTTTTATTTCAACGCCTCAGGCAAGTAAAACGTGCAACACGTAGCTTTTAGACAGGTTAGTTAACAACATACATGGTGAGAAATGTAGACGTGCGCGTATATAATAATAATATGCCATTTAGCAGACGCTTTTATCCAAAGCGACGTACAGTCATGTACGCATACATGTTTAAGTATGGGTGGTCCCAGGGATGGAACCCACTACCCTGTTGTTACAAGCGCCATGCTCTACCAATTGAGCTACAGAGGACCACGTATAAATAGATCAATTGTGCCTTTTTGATGGAAATATTGAGGTGGGATTTTGGAGATCAGGTCATAATTTACGCGCGCTCTCTGCAAATAAGGCGGGCCAGCTGGATGTCCTAGGGCACGATATGCACCCTCTTTGCGTGGATGGCACACAGTTTGGTGTCCTCGAACAGACCGACCAGGTAAGCCTCGCTGGCCTCCTGCAGGGCCATCACGGCGGAGCTCTGGAAGCGCAGGTTGGTCTTGAAGAACAGGGCGATTTTTCTCCCCAGGCGCTGGAAGGGCACATTGCGGATGAGCAGCTCAGTGGAGCTTTGGTAACGACAGATCTCTCTGAGACACGGTGCCGGGCCTGTAACGGGGAGGCTCTCCTGCGCAGCCTTGGTGGCGAGCTGCATCCTGTAGGCTTTGCCACGGGTGGATTTGCGAGCGGTTTGCTTGGTTCTGGCCATGGCGCTAGCTTCCTTCTTAGACAGTCGGAATATAGCCTCAAAATGCCCATGTGAAATGTATAACGCCGGCAGTGGCATCTGCTGATTGGACACCATCTCCCCACCACCCCGATTGGCCCGTTGCGGAGGCCTCCTCTGTTGGCTATCGGAAGGGATGCTTTGCTTCTTTTTTTTTTTGACCGCGCACCCAAAACAGTACACTGCGCGCCCAAAACAATACACTGCGCGCCCAAAAAACACACTGTACGCCAAAAAACAATACACTTTGCGTGCGCCCGCAATAATACACTGCGCGCCCAAAACAATAGAACACTGCCGGCCTTTACACGCAATAATAAAGTCAAGAGTGAAATCTTGTGTTATAATTTAATGCTAGCCTGCTATGGCAAACGAGGCCAATAGTACACAGCGCGGATGCAACTGCACACTGCGCGCAGGCAAAAGCACAATGTGCGCGCAACAGTACACTGCCGGCCCTTTATGCGCAATAATAGTCGCTGAAGTCAAGAGTGAAATCTTATGTTCTAATCTATGGCAAACGATGCCAATAGTCCACTGCGCGCAGGCATTAGGACACTGCCGCGCGATAATATTCGCCAAAGTCAAGAGTGAAATCTTTTGTTCTAATCACCACATGTTCAATAATGGCATTTCCCCCCTTTATTCAAATTACAACCTCTCACTTTCAGTTATTTGAAATGAAATAATCTCTCAAATATCACTATATCTAAAACAAGCCATAGAAAGTTGGTTGCAATTTCAATTAAATCATCCAGAAACGACAGAACAAACTCAAATACACTAATAGGAGAAAATATATATTTATTGATATTGTATGTTGTATAGCCTTACTTGTTGGTATCTCAGACGACCAGAACCTTAATAATAATCACCATACTTACTTCACATAGCACGGACATATAGTAGACTACTGACACTCACTCCTATGGAATGGGTATGGGGACTGGACACGCCGGGACCCAGACTCTACTGTTGTCGATGACACATATTAATGTCGCGTTCAGGGTGCTATCAGAGTTATCGGAAATACCTAGTTCCGACTGGGAAGTTTCACTTGAATGACCCTCCAAGTAGGAATTACAAGTGAGAAATAGTGAAAATGTTGTTGCAAATCTTATTGGTTTAAGAATTGTTCCGACTTCAAAACCACTTGAACACAATCATGTGGGAGTTACAACTTCCCATTTTCCACGAGAATGTGAAGTTGGCATAATACAGCATTCAAGTGCTAGTCGGTACTAGGAAACGGACATTTCTGACTTGCTAACTGGTTGAACGCGTTACAATAGCCTAAGTATATAATATGATTGACATAACCACAATAGAAAGGCCTTGGAAGTGCCATAAGTGAAAGCCGACATATTTCATTATTTTTACATTAACCTCTTTAACATGTATTAAATGAATAATGAAGAAAATGGTGTAATTTAGACTCTACGAAATATGAAATGCATTATGAAGAAAATCGTGTACTGTTGCCTACACGGAAAAGGGGCCTTTCTGACCAAAAGTGCACCAGTATCCCAAAGAATTAATCGAAATCGAGCATAGAAAACAGCGTTAGCATTAATAAAACAATTTTTCCCACGAATTAAGTTGTACGTAAATGTGTGTATTTTCTCACAAATGATGTTCAGAAAATCTCAAACAGTACATAGGCATACAACTACAGTGTTTGAAACATTATTAAATAAAGACAACATTTCTGTATATTCAAAACGTTTAATTAGCCATAATAAAGAAAATAAAGAAAAATAGGCTATCCGTTTATGGTTGTTGTGTGTAGCCTACTGGTTAAATTGGTGTCTTTTCGCACGAATTAAGTAGCACATAAAATCTGCTGAAATACATTATGCTACCTGTGGTTTTCTCGAGCACGGTTATATGTCAGACATGTAAACCGTGACGGATAGCGAAAGCAAACTCCGTATTGAGTCAATACTGTCATCGATTGGTAAACATAATCCTTAACGTAAATATCCCAGGTTAGTACACAACGATTTTCCTTACATGTTGTGCTAGGTCCTGCAGGACATCACCCCCTTCATCTTGCTGGAAAAAAAATAACACACAAACACAGACATTTTTCAATGTTGGGAACAAATTTTACATGAACATTTAAATCAAGATGGATTAAGAGATGCCCAGGCTGATGCGCAAAGGCAACTACGCCGAGCGTGTGGGCGCTGTCGCACCAGTCTACCTGGCTGCCGTGCTCGAGTGCCTGACTGCTGAGATCCTGGAGTTGGCCGGAGACATTGCCCGTGCAAACAAGAAGCCTCACATCATTCCCCATTACCTACTCCCCAAGAAGACCGTCAAAGCCAAGTAAATTCGCTACTGAGGCTTCAACTTGACAACTCAACATCCAAAGGCTATTTTAAGAGCCAACCAATTGAGTGGGTGTATACACAATTATGTCGACTATTTCTTACATACATGCCACTATATCATGTTCCCACATGAGGCCATGAATGAACAATAACACCTACTAGGCCTCGTTTGCCATAGCAGGCAAGCATTAGATTAGAACACAAGATTTCACTCTGGACTTTGGAGACTATTATTCCGCATAAAGGGCCGTCAGTGTGCTGTTGCGCGCGCACAGTGTGCTTTTGCCGGCGCGCAGTGTGTAGTTGTGTGCAGGCAGTGTACCATTGGCCTCGTTTGCCATAACAGGCTACCATTAAAATATAACACAAGATTTCACTCTTGACTTTGACGACTATTATTGTGCGCAAAGGGCCAGCAGTGTGCTATTGTACGCACGCGCTTAGTGGACTATTGTTTTGGGCGCCCAGTGTATTGTGTTGGGCGCGCGGTCCTAAAAAAAAGAAGCAAAGCATCCCTTCCAGTAACCGACAGAGGAGTCCTCCGCAATGGGCCAATCGGGGTGGTGGGGAGATGGTGTCCAATCAGCAGATGCCACTGCCGGCTTTATACATTTCACATGGGCATTTCGAGGCTATACTCCGACTGCAAATCCAGCCTTGGCAAAGCCTACAGGAAGCAGCTCAACGCCAAGTCTGCGCGCAGGAGCGCCTCCCAGTTACAGGCCCGGCACCGTGTCTCAGAGAGATCCGTCGTTACCAAAGGGCCACTTAGCTGCTCATCCGCATTGTGCCCTTCCAGCGCCTGTGGAGAAAAATCGCCGACCTGCGCTTCCAGAGCTCCGCCGTGATGGCCCTGCAGGAGGCTAGCGAGACTTACCTGGTCGGTCTGTTCGAGGACACCAAACTGTGTGCCATCCACGCAAAGAGGGTGACCATCGTGTCCTAGGACATCCAGCTGGCCCACCTTATTCGCAGAGAGCGCGCGTAAATTATGACTTGATCTCCAAAATCCCACCTCCATATTTCCATCAAAAAGGCACAATTGATATATTTATTCGTGGTCCTCTGTAGCTAAACTGGTAGAGCATAGTGCTTGTAACGCCAGGGTAGTGGGTTCGATCCCCGGGATGTAAAAATGTATGCGCACATGGCTTATTATATACGCGCACCTCTACATTTCTCACCATGTATGTTGTTAACTAACCCGTCTAAAAGCTACGTATTGCATGTTTTACTTGCCTGAGGCGTTGAAATAAAAGGCACCTGCTGGACCAGAAGTCATGTGGCCAACACTCTGCTTAAAATCATTAAGAGCTGTAAGGAGTCCATCAACTAACTGGTCAGTCAAGTCATATAGGGAGGGATTTCATGGCCACCTGCTGGAGCAGAAGTAATGTCTGCCAACACTGGCCTTAAAATCATTAGGAGCTATAAGGAATAAGTCAACTCATCATTCAAGTAATATAGGGAGGGATCTTAGCACCACCTGCTGGATCAGAAGTACTCTTCACCGTAGGCTCAGAGAGCCATCATCTCTCAACTGGTGCAATTTTCATAAGTATTTGGTTAAAAAAAATACAACAACAGCTCATCATATAGGCAGTGGTTTCAAAACTCTAAGCACATGTTCAAGTAGAGCACACCAAATCATACAGGTACTTGTTCACCACACTGAATCAGTGTTTAATCTAGAAATACATGCTTTGCATTGCAATACATGTTCTTGTAAAGTCATTGCTTTCCACAATGCAATGCTCACATCACTTTCCTTGTGATATTGTTGTTCATTTGTTCAAATGTATTTGACTATGACCTAATCCGACTGCTCTGAATTCATAATCACTTCACGGTTTGGTGTTAACCTACCGATTTTCAACTGCTTTGCCTATTGCAGATTAGGAACACTGTCATGAAAATGTATGGTTGGGAAGTCTAAAATGAGGGTAACTCCCCTTAAGGTAAATGTCTGTGTTCTGAGTGGCAAAAAAAACAACAATGTTTTATAACATTTAGATATGTGCATACTGGCTGTCCTTAGGCAAACGCATTTAGAAGGGAAAGAAGTGGAACCAATTAATACTTTTCTTGCTCTTCAATCAAAACAAAACCTTCACAAAGTGGTGCGTTTTGCCCCAAAATGACCCCTGAGGATTAGTGTGTTCTCATTTGCCAGTAATTGACCCTGACATACTCCCTTTAAATTGTACTATTTTACTCAAATATATACTGTAATGTACTACTATTATGATGATGACTATTATGATTTTACTTCATGGTAAGTAGAGCAAAATGCTGAAATTGACAAGATCAGAGACTCGTTCGTTCCTTTTTTCAAACTCCCCGATGGTAGATGGCGCTGATGAGTGCCACTGAACCATATGCGCTGCACCCCGAAGTTAGTGACAGAAGAAGAGATACTGTTGCTGCGAAAGACAAAAACGGTCACTACCTCAAGAAGTCTGATAATAAGCTGAGCTGAGACTAGGTATGTAACAATGAAATGTCGTCCAATTGAGTACTCACTCTCTTAAACTTTAAATCTTGAAGCAAATTATTTGTTTGTGCGTGTGAACATGATTTAGTGTGGTGAATGTATTCCAAATAATTTAACATAAATACAGTAAATGATGCGCAAAAATCAGCCGCTTTTGCAAGTCAAATCTATGCTGGACAAATGCGCATTATTTTAATGACAGTTTTTTGATTACATGTTTTGTCTGCGCATTTGTTGGGTCGCATGTGACCGATGGTAAGCGAGCTCTCGTTTGGTCATGTGTTACTAGCTAACGTAGCCTAGACTAGCTAGCTAGCTAGCTAGCTAACTTGTAGCTAATTTCCCCCTAACCTCTGACACTCTCTAGCGGTTGGAGGACTAAATCACCTCGAGCTCAACATTTTAAAATGGAACTGGAAAATGGTACGTTTTGCTGTTAACGACACCCTTCTAGCTAGCTGACCACCGATTTGAGGTGAAAGCTAGTGCGACTTTCATTTGGTGACGTCACTTGCTCTATGAACTGGAAGTAGTTACTTTGAGAGCATCGCAGATGGTGTGGAATGCCTGGCGAGGTATGTAGAGGGTTCCTGGTTCGAAAACAGGTAGGGACAGTGAGTAAAGCTTTCGCAGTGGGGCTATATACCTAGATTACTATGTGGATTGAGAAATGTGAAAGGTTGAATTAGATAGCTTAAATAGAAGTATTCTGGAAAGGTCTATGAAACTATGTTATAAGGACACCATGCGCCTCCCCCATAATGTAGGAAGGAGCAGGAGAGGGGGGGGGGGGGATGTGAGAGACAGTACATAGTTCAGATGGTAGGAATGTCATTAAGTGTATACTGATCAACGATATCAAGCATTTGTTTTATTAATTAGGGCCTAATCAGAGAGAACAGTTAAAGAAATTGAATAGCGAACTGAAATGGGTTAGCGGGAAAATATAAATAGTTGGTACAACGATAATTTATTTTGGTTACGGGGAAGCAAGTGGCATTGGCTGTTGTGCTGGGGAAATAGCGCCAGCCTGTGGTGGGTTCTGGATTTGTTATAAATACATTTATATTTTAAACTAAAGTGATGGAATAGACTACAATTATAACATCAGAAAAAGGGCACAATATAATTTGTAAGTTATTATAATTATTATTGATAGTTATTGCAGTTATTATCATTGATTCAGTAATGATAGAAGGGTAGAGAGGAAATAGGCAGGAAGAGCTAGAGAAAGTAAACACAGAGAGTTTTAAGCACAGGGAGTTGAAGAGATTAGAAGACTATAATAAGCCAGGGAGAGTGGTTAGATGATGAGGAATGGGGATGACCAGTACCCTTTGATAGCCTTGCCGAACCCAAGGGCTGGGGAGGAGCATGCACCAGACACACTGGATGTATATAGGGCGTGGACACAGCGAGATGTAGTAAGAGCAATAGAGGGTGTAGTGCACCCTAAGAGAGGAGAGGGGTCAGAGGAACCCATTGATACGGGGTGGGAAGTGTTTGAATTGGAAACAATTGAATTGGCTCTGCAGCAAGAACAGAAACCATACCTCACCTTAACAATATTAGGGAAAAAATATTAAATTCTTGTGTGACACAGGGGCATGTCGAACAGCAATCTGTGTAGCCGACATACCCAAAATAATTAGAATTAAGGGGGGAAAAAATCATGGTACGCTCGGCCTCGGGCTATCAATTTATGGAGCGATTATCAGCCCCTGTGACTTTACAACATGAAGATTCAGGGGGAGAGGTATGCATACCTGTACTGGTATCAAGCCGGTGGCCTCATTAAAGACTACCATGTGGGGCCAATAAAGCATTTTCACCCATGAATATTCGATCACGTGTGTGTGTGTGTGTGTGTGTGTGTGAGAGAGAGGGAGAGAATGTTCACTGCAATCTGATAACAAATAAGGGCATGTCGTAATCCAGGTGGAATAAAATGTGTTCCCCACATTGACAGAATGTCTGTATTTGTGTCTTATTTATTTTACAGGAAGCTGAGTGGGGTCATTTCCTGCAAGACCTTGCGTAACATGTAAAGGAAATCTATGCGATCAACAAGGAGGGTGCCGTGGCGAGTGACAGCCCTCAAGAACAAATGACTGTCTTAAGCAGAATGACAGGCCTGAGGACAATTGTCATAGACTGAATGTCAGGGTTACTTTGTAACACCTTCGTAGTTAAACGCTGAGGTGCCTTTGGAACTCTTCTCTCCCTTCATTTTTTCTGGTAGCAGGTCAGGAACGGTGTCCTCTACCACAAGCCCGCTTGTTGTTGGTGAAGCCGCCTGGGGCACAGAATCTGTGCTGGGACCAACCTCTGCCTACTGGGGGATGGTCACCGAGAGGCGGGGCCCGAGCACATTGCGGTCTGGGACCCCGTCCCCGATGGGCCCGTGGCGGTTCTCTAGGCTAAAGAGGTTAGAGGGTAAGGAAGACACGTTTATTCTGCAAGGTGTGTTTTAAAGGGTCACTGCCACGGTATTTTCCATTGTGTTTTGTATACAAAAGATACAAAATAGGTGTTTTTAATGAAGGATGTCATTGTAAAATGTAATGTCTATTTTGTTCCCATACAGTTGCGGTTTGAAATTCCGATTTTTGAATCCATTGTACCATTTTGAGGTTTCATCAAGGTACACACCTTTCACCACTGGTATTTTGACAATTCTACCATCAATCAATCAATGAAGTGGATTTATAAAGCCCTTTCTACATCAAAAGATGTCACAAAGTGCTATACAGAAACCCAGCCTAAAACCCCACACAGCAAGCGATGCAGATGTAGAAGCGCGGTGGCTAGGAAAAACTCCCTAGAAAGGCACAAACCTAGAGAACAACCAGGCTCTGAGGGGTGGCCGGTGCCCTTCTGCCTGTTCCGGGTGGAGATTATAACAGTACGTGGCCATTAAGGGCACATTTTTCTCCAAGATGTTAAAACGTTCATAGATGACCAGCAGGGTCAAATAATAAGCACAGTGGTTGTAGAGGTTGCAACAGGTCAGTCAGTACATCAGGAGTAAATGTCACTTGGCTTTTCATAGGCGGCCATTTAGAGGTTGAAATAGCAGCAGGTGCGGTACCAGGGTCTGTCTGCACAGTATGGTTGTTATGACATCACAATGCTACCTGCATCACTGATGGTCTACTGCAAAACCTTTTTCACCTATTTTAAACAGATTTCTATTGGGAACTGTTGAAAAAAGGCGCAACTCCAACATTAATGGGTTAAAGGAAAAATGACCAAAGTAATATAGGTGGCATCCATCAGCAGTGCTCGTGAACAAAGAAATGTTATAGGAACAAACAAGTAAAAGTGTTTCGATTATTGGGGTTGTCACGTCTTTAATTATTTTGGCCTTGTAGGCAACATTGTAGTTTGAAAAATATCCCACAGTGCAAACACAAGCTATTTGAGCCTCCATTTCAGTAGTTATCCATGGTTACTATGAGAATATTTTGTTCCCCATGACGTCTATGGGGTTGAAGCTCCATTGTATCTCTCGTAAGTAAATGTTCTGCCCACAGAGATCTTATACTAGTTAGTGTTCTAGGTCCTATTTCTATGGTTTTGCCTACCTACAGCAATCAGGACTTACCTGCAGTGTTGTTTGCAATTCCGTAATTTGTCAACTCATAATAACACATGTTTTGCAAAACGTTGATGTTTAAATAAATGGATTCCCGGTGTCCGGATACCTTTTCTCTTAAGGGATCTGATTGAGTGAATCCAAAGTAAAAATGTGAACCTTTTCTGAGTTGGTCTAAATGAATATATCATGTAACATTGAGTACATAATAGGATGAATCATTCAGGTAAAATAACACAATGTCATGGATCTATTTGAGTTGAATCAACGTAATATAATCCTTTTTTACCTCTATCATCTTTACTCAATGTATTTGACCACATCTAAACAACTTACTCAAGCTTATCTACTCATAAAAACAAGCAAAAATATCTAATCAATAATATGACGTGTGCTTTTGTTGACTGTAATAGTTTGAGTACATTCCACAAAGTCATTTTTTACAGTGTATCTAAAGACACGTTTGTTGTGGTGATGCACTTTTTCTTTGACGTTGAACTTGCATTGAACAGACAATTCCATTTCGTTACAACCCTTTTGTAGTATGACTTAGGAATATTTGTTGATTATCCTAATGTCTATGCTTGAATAGTGATTGGTTGTTGGTGAAATATTGCTGAGAACCCATAGTTTCCTGTCCTTTTTTGACTCCCTTTAGGTACCATGGGTGAAAGCAAAACTTTGCAACATCCAATAAATGTTTGGGAAGCTCTATTTGAATAGTCAACTTCTCCTTCGGGGGGGTTCACACTGCTTTTCGGAAATGGCATTGGCCAATGCCCTACCTTCATATCCTATAGCTTTGATATAGCTGGTGCTTTTATCCCAAGTGACAACAGTGAGTCCATACCTTTTAACATGTGACCCCAGTGGGGATCCAACCCACAACTATGGTGTTGCTAGTGAAATGCGCTGAATACCTGAGCCACACAATACTGTGAAATGCAATACAGGTGGAAGGTGTGTGTGATTGCCATCCCCATGAGCGTGCCACCCTCCTCCAGGCCACGGATGAGGCATGCAATGACATCAAATCCACACCTATGGCAAAATGCTCAAGACAGGATTGATGCAAACTAGTGCCTGCTAAACGTTCGGTTTGTTTCATTCATTCCATTTGTGTCGTTTGATTACAGGACATCTATGTTGTAATTATCTAAAGAATACATGGACTTTTTCCGTCAATGATTGTGACATGTCTTCAATGACGACACAGGGGATAAGAAAGATGGAAATGTGATTTCCACAGTGTAATTGACAGACTGTAGCATGTTACATTCAAAGAGCAATTTAGAAACATTTGTTTTGCTATTAGATTCATAATGGTCACCTGGGACAAGTAATTAGTGAAAACCAGAGTTCAGCGGTTGGCATTAAAGCGATAGAACCAAGTCATCCTAATAGGCTAGTATTAGCCTAAAGCAGGGTTTCCCAAACTCGGGCCACGTTTTGGGAGTTTTTGCCCTAGCACTACACAGCTGCTTCAAATAATCAACTCATCATCAAGCTGGGAGTATTAGAATAAGCTGTGGAGTGCTAGGGCAAAACGCGCACCCCTTGGGGACCCCAGGACCGCGTTTGGGAAACGCTGGGCTAAAGAGCTAATACTAAAAGGGACTCCCCATGATGTGCGCACACATGGGCAGTACCTGAGTTGATCCACAAGATGTCCTCCGTGCTCCACTGTAAAGTTTTGGCCTCTGCATGAGTCTCTCAGCAGCACTGCAACATGGGACTTTCAAAGTCAGTTGGCATGCAATGTTTTTTCTTGACTGCATGCAAGGCTATTACACACAGCTAATAGTGTCAATTATTCATCTGAACACAATTCTTGTTACTATTCGGCCTATATTATCACTCGTTTCTTTTCCCCCTCCTTTGTAAAGCATTTTACTGTGCTAAAATAGTCCAAAGGAAGTGGATGATGCCAGATGGTTGTATATACACACACAAACATTGAAGCTAGACTTCAAGCAACTAAAAGGTGCAATACGTAGCTTTTAGACGTGTTAGTGAACAACATACATGGTGGGTAATGTAGAGGTGCGTGTATACATGGAACAATTACAGGACATCTATGTCGTAATTATCTGAGGAATACATGGACTTTTTCCGTCAATGATTGTGACATGTCTTCAATGACGTCACAGGGGATAAGAAAGATGGAAATGTGATTTCCACAGTGTAATTGACAGACTGTAGCATGTTACATTCAAAGAGCAATTTAGAAACATTTGTTTTGCTATTAGATTCATAATGGTCACCTGGGACAAGTAATTAGTGAAAACCAGAGTTCAGCGGTTGGCATTAAAGCGATTGAACCAAGTCATCCTAATAGGCTAGTATTAGCCTAAAGCAGGGTTTCCCAAACTCGGTCCACGTTTTGGGAATTTTTGCCCTAGCACTACACAGCTGATTCAAATAATCAACTCATTATCAAGCTGGGAGTATTAGAATCAGCTGTGGAGTGTTAGGGCAAAACGCGCACCCCTTGGGGACCCCAGGACCGCGTTTGGGAAACGCTGGGCTAAAGAGCTAAAACTAAAAGGGACTCCCCATGATGTGCGCACACATGGGCAGTACCCAAGTTGAACCACTAGATGTCCTCCGTGCTCCACTGTAAAGTTTTGGCCTCTGCATGAGTCTCTCAGCAGCACTGCAACATGGGACTGTTAAAGTCAGTTGGCATGCAATGTTTTTTCCTGACTGCATGCAAGGCTATTACACACAACTAATAGTGTCAAATATTCATCCGAACATAATTCTTGTTACTATTCGGCCTATATTATCACTCGTTTCTTTTTCCCCTCCTTTGTAAAGCATTTTACTGTGCTACTATAGTCCAAAGGAAGTGGATGATGCTAGATGGTTGTGTATATACACACACAAACATTGAAGCTAGACTTCAGGCAACTAAAAGGTGCAATACGTAGCTTTTAGACGTGTTAGTGAACAACATACATGGTGGGTAATGTAGAGGTGCGTGTATACTGGATAAGAGCGTCTGCTAAATGACGTAAATGTAAATGTATACATGGAACAATTGTGACTTTTTGATGGAAATATGGAGGTGGTCCTTAAAAGAGCCTTTGGGGGATTTTGGAGATCAGGTCATCCTCATTTATGCGCGCTCTCCGCGAATACGGCGGGCCAGCTGGATGTCCTTGGGCATGATGGTCAACTGCTTGGCGTGGATGGTGCACAGGTTGGTGTCCTCGAACAGGCCGACCAGGTAAGCCTCGCTAGCCTCCTGCAGGGCCATCACGGCGGAGCTCTGGAAGCGCAGGTCGGTCTTGAAGTCCTGGGCGATTTCTCTCACCAGGCGCTGGAAGGGCAGCTTGCGTATGAGCAGCTCAGTGGACTTCTGGTAACGACGCATCTCTTTCAGAACCACGGTGCCGGGCTGTAACGGTGAGGCTTCTTCACACCGCCGGTGGCCGGGGCGCTCTTGCCAGCAGCCTTAGTGGCGAGCTGCTTCCTGGGGGCTTTGCCACCAGTGGATTTGCGAGCTGTTTGCTTGGTTCTGATTGAAAGGTTTTTATTAAAATCGTACAAAAACCATACATCATAAATCATTTCATTTCCATATAATATTTGCATCACGCCACACCATACTCACTCCTGTATCCTCTCACCTTCCTCTTTCCACCACCCCATCACTATTAACCAACCAACCAACAACCCCATCATAATAATAAAACACTATGCCTTTTAGCAGACGCTGTACTTACCGTCATGCTTGCATACATTTTACATGTGGGCGGCCCCAGGGACCGAACCCACTACCCTGGCATTACAAGCGCCATGCTCTACCCACTGAGCCACATAGGACTACAAAAAAACAAGAAAAATTCACATCATATAAACCGACCCAACCATATACCAACATAATAATCAAATTACTATGCCATTTAGCAGACGCTTTCCCGTCATGCGTACTTACATTTTACGTGGGCGGCACCGGGGACCGAACCCGCTACCATGGTATTACAAGCGCCACGCTCTACCCACTGAGCTACATAGGACTACAAAAAAAGAAAAAAGAAAGTTCACATCTTACAGTGAGGGAAAAAAATATTTGATCCCCTGCTGATTTTGTACGTTTACCCATTAACAAAGTCATGATCAGTCTATAATTTTAATGTTAGGTTTATTTGAACAGTGAGAGACAGAATAAAAACAAAAATATCCAGAAAAACGCATGTCAAAAATGTTATAAATTGATTTGCATTTTAATGAGGGAAATAAGTATTTGACCCCTCTGCAAAACATGACTTAGTACTTGGTGGCAAAACCCTTGTTGGATATCACACAGGTTAGACATTCCTTGTAGTTGGCCACCAGGTTTGCACAGATCTCAGGATGGATTTTGTCCCACTCCTCTTTGCAGATCTTCTCCAAGTCATTAAGGTTTCGAGGCTGACGTTTGGCAACTCGAACCATCAGCTCCATCCACTGATTTTCTATGGGATTAAGGTCTGGAGACTGGCTAGGCCACTTCAGGACCTTAATGTGCTTCTTCTTGAGCCACTCCTTTGTTGCCTTGGAGGAAGGAGGTTCTCACCCAAGATTTGACGGTACATGGCCCCGTCCATCGTCCCTTTAATGTGGTGAAGTTGTCCTGTCCCCTTAGCAGAAAAACACCCCCAAAGCATAATGTTTCCACCTCCATGTTTGACAGTGGGGATGGTGTTCTTGGGGTCATAGGCAGCATTCCTCCTCCTCCAAACACAGCGAGTTGAGTTGATGTCAAAGAGCTCCATTTTGGTCTCATCTGACCACAACACTTTCACGCAGTTCTCCTCTGAATCATTCAGATGTTCATTGGCAAACTTCAGATGGCCCTGTATATGTGCTTTCTTGAGCAGGGGGACATTGCGGGTGCTGCAGGATTTCAGTCCTTCACAGCGTAGTGTGTTACCAATTGTTTTCTTGGTGACTATGGTCCCAGCTGCCTTGAGATCATTGACAAGATCCTCCTGTGTAGTTCTGGGCTGATTCCTCACCTATCTCATGATCATTGCAACTCCACGAGGTGAGTACTTGCATGGAGCCCCAGGCCGAGGGAGATTGACATTTACTTTGTGTTTCTTCCATTTGCGAATAATCGCACCAACTGTTGTCACCTTCTCACCAAGCTGCTTGGCGATGGTCTTGTAGCCCATTTCAGCCTTGTGTAGGTCTACAATCTGGTCCCTGACATCCTTGGAGAGCTCTTTGGTCTTTGCCATGGTGGAGATTTTGGAATCTGATTGATTGATTGCTTCTGTGGACAGGTGTCTTTTATACATGTAACAAACTGAGATTAGGAGCACTCCCTTTAAGAGTGTGCTCCTAATCTCAGCTCGTTACCTGTATAAAAGACACCTGGGAGCCATAAATCTTTCTGATTGAGAGGGGGTCAAATACTAATTTCCCTCATTAAAATGCAAATCAATTTATAACATTTTTGACATGCAATTTTCTGGATTTTTTTGTTATTCTGTCTCTCACTGTTCAAATAAACCTACCAATAAAATTATAGACTGATCATTTCTTTGTCAGTGGGCAAACGTACAAAATCAGCAGGGGATCAAATACTTTTTTCCCTCACTGTATATACCGCCACAAACAATAACTAGCTTCTTAAATACACCTCAGGGGAGCACCTTCCCTCCCCTTTTTACCCAGCCACAAAAACACACCCTCACACCTTCCTCCCTACCCCTCTATACTAAACCTAAACACCCCCCTCTACACTAACCCTAAACACCCCTTCCACCTCTCCCGAGCAGCATGCTGCCCCCACTTCTTCTCCTCTCCCTTCATCCTCATTTGAGTTTGTTCTGTCGTTTCTGGATGATTAAATTGAAATTGCAACCAACTTTCTATGGCTTGTTTTAGATATAGTGATATTCGAGAGATGATTTCATTTCAAATAACTGAAAGTGAGAGGTTATAATCTGAATAAAGGGGTAAAATGCCATTATTGAACATGTGGTGATTAGAACACAAGATTTCACTCTTGACTTTGGCGAATATTATTGCGCAACAGTGTCCAGTTGCCAGCGCGCAGTGTACTATTGGCATCGTTTGCCATAGCAGGCTGGCATTAGATTAGAACATAAGATTTCACTCTTGACTTTGGCGACTATTATTGCGCATAAAGGGCTGGCAGTTTACTGTTGCGCGCAGAGTGTGCTTTTGCCTGCGCGCAGTGTCCAGTTGCGTCCGCACAGTGTACTATTGGCCTCATTTGCCATAGCAAGCTAGCATTGATTAGAACATAAGATTTCAATCTTGACTTCGGCGACTATTATTGCGCGTAAAGGCCGGCAGTGTACTATTGTTTTGGGCGCGCAGTGTACTGTTTTGAAGCAAAGCATCCCTTCCGATAGCCGACAGAGGAGGCCTCCGCCACGGGCCAATCGGGGTGGTGGGGAGATGGTGTCCAATCAGCAGATGCCACTGCCGGCTTTATACATTTCACATGGGCATTTCGAGGCTATACTCCGACTGTCTAAGAAGGAAGCTAGCTCCATGGCCAGAACCAAGCAATCCGCTCGCAAATCCACCCATGGCAAAGCCTACAGGATGCAGCTCGCCGCCAAGGCTGCGCGCAGGAGCACCTCCCCGTTACAGTTGCCTGCGCGCAGTGTACTATTGGCATCGTTTGCCAATAGTACATTATATAATGTAATGCTAGCATTAGATAAGAACATAAGATTTCACTCTTGACTTTGGCGACTATTATTGCGCGTAAATGCCGGCATTGTACTATTGTTTTGGGCGCGCAGTGTATTATTGCGGGCGCAAGCAAAGTGTATTGTTTTGGCGCATGCGTTTCTGTATTCAGCACGGTTGAATGGACAGCGCTTGTGCTTCATCTCTACTCACGAGACTCCGTGGTGCTGAAATGTATAGCGCCTCTGCCCAGTTGGCAAGGGATATTTCCCATTTGAGGGAATTCTGAAATGCTAAAGGCACAGTTCAGTACACCCCTCAACCAACAGACCCCAGCAACTTCAATTAGGATACTCGTTACGGTATAGGGGATGCATTCGCTTCTGATCTTGTCAATATCAGCATTTTGCTCTACTTACGGTGAAGTAAAATCATATTAGTCATCATCATAACATTAGTACATCACAGTATATGTCATCCCCCATCCTGTAATTATCACAGATACCCCTTTATTTCTGCAACATTTGTTTCAACACTTTCCCAGGATGTCCCTAGTCTTGCTCATCAAAAAATGTAATCTGTCATCTCTACTTTTTTAGTCACTGCAACAAAACGATTTTTGAGGTTCATTGATGTAATATTTTGTCATTGTGTAAAAGTTATATAGGCTATATAATGTAATGAAATCTATAAACATATTTTATATACATATACCAGTAGGGGAGCCTACAGATAAATAATGCACTTGGTTCGAGAGAAAAGTTGCAATCCGTTTTTAATAAAGTAGTACAATTTAAAGGGAGTATGTTAGGGTCAATTACTGAAAAATGTTAACACGCTAATCTTCAGGGGTCATTTTGGAGCCAAACGCAGCCCTTTTGTTTTTTTTATTTTTATTTCACCTTTATTTAACCAGGTAAACCAGTTGAGAACAAGTTCTCATTTACAACTGCGACCTGGCCAAGATAAAGCAAAGCAGTGCGATAAAAACAACAACACAGAGTTACATATGGGGTAAAACAAAACAAAGTCAAAAATACAACAGAAATACATATATATACAGTGTGTGCAAATGTAGCAAGTTATGGAGGTAAGGCAATAAATAGGCTATAGTGCAAAATAATTACAATTAGTATTAACACTGGAATGATAGATGTGCAAGAGATGATGTGCAAATAGAGATACTGGGGTACAAATGAGCAAAATAAATAACAATGTAGGGATGAGGTAGTTGGGCGGGCTAATTTCAGATGGGCTGTGTACAGGTGCAGTGATCGGTAAGGTGCTCTGACAACTGATGCTTAAAGTTAGTGAGGGAGATAAGTGTCTCCTGCTTCAGAGATTTTTGCAATTTGTTCCAGTCATTGGCAGCAGAGAACTGGAAGGAATTGCGGCCAAAGGAGGTGTTGGCTTTGGGGATGACCAGTGAGATATACCTGCTGGAGCGCAGACTACGGGTGGGTGTTGCTATGGTGACCAATGAGCTAAGATAAGGCGGGGATTTGCCTAGCAGTGATTTATAGATGGCCTGGAGCCAGTGGGTTTGGCGACGAATATGTAGTGAGGACCAGCCAACAAGAGCGTACAGGTCACAGTGGTGGGTATTATATGGGGCTTTGGAGACAAAACGGATGGCACTGTGATAGACTACATCCAATTTGCTGAGTAGAGTGTTGGAGGCTATTTTGTAAATGACATCGCCGAAGTCAAGGATCG